AAAATAATTGAATTAAATTTTCACCAAAAATGATACACAAATTAGAAAAAGCAATTGAAAGAACACAGTATATTACAGTTTGTAGAGAAATGCATACAAATTGCAATGAGGAACAAAATCACCTCACACCAATCAGAATGGCCATTATCAGTTTTTTTAAAAATACCAAATCTGTTGACAATGCAATAAAAATGAAACCCATACTGACTGTTGGTGAAAAACAAGAATGCAGCCATTGATTTAAAATGTTATAAATGTTTTTCAAGTAATTAAAAATAAAATTGTCATAAAATATCAAATAATAAATCCCATATCCAAAATATCCAACAGAGGACCTGAAAGACATATTTGAACATCTATGTTTATTGTACCAGTATACACAAAAGCCAAATGGCTGAAGCAACCCAGGTGTTCCTTTATTTATAAACACATCAAAAAATATAACATATACATACAATGAAATTTTACTTAGCCTTTAAAAAAATCTTGCCACATTTTAAGATAAACATCCTTGAGAATATTATGTCACCTGAAATAAGCCAGTAAAAAATGATGGACACTGTATGATTCCATTCATAGGAGATAACTTAAGTGGAAGGGTGTTTGTCAAACGCTGGGAAAAGGGTAAAATGATGGACACTGTATGATTCCATTCATAGGAGATAACTTAAGTGGAAGGGTGTTTGTCAAGGGCTGGGAAAAGGGTAAAATGAGCAGTTATTACTTAATGGGTATTGAATTTTAGTTTCCAAAGATGTAAAATTTCTAGAAGTTTTTTGCATAACAACGTGAATATACTTAACATGCCTGAAATGGAACAGCACAAATTTTTTTTTGAGATCAGATCTCACTCTGTCACCCAAGCTGGAGTGCAGTGGCACAATTATCACTCACTGTAGCCACTAACTCCCTGGCTCAAATAACCCTCCCCTCTCAATCTTCCAAAGAGCTGGGACCACACACCACCATGCCTGGCTATTTTTTTTTTCATCCAGCTGAAGTGTAGTGGCACGATCCTGGCTCACTGCAACCTCTACCTCCCAAGTTCAAGCAATTCTCCTGCCTCAGCCTCCCAGTGTGCCCAGCTAATTTTGTGTTTTTAGTAGAGGCAGGAGGCCAAGGCGGATGGATCAAGAGGTCAGGAGTTCAAGACCAGCCTGTCCAGCATGGTGAAACCCTGTTTCTACTAAAAATACAACACTTAGCCAGGAATGGTGGTGCATGCCTATAATCCCAGCTACTTGGGAGGCTGAGGCAGGAGAATTGCTTGAACTTGGAAGGCAGAGGTTGCAGTGAGCCAAGATCGTTCCACTGCTCTCCAGCCTGGGTGACAGAGCGAGACTCTGTATAAAGAAAGAAAAAAAAATTGTAGAGAAGGAATCTTCACACCCACTGCAGTGGCTCATGCCTATAATCTCAGAACTTTGGGATGCTAAGGTGGGCAGATCAGGAGGTCAGCAGATTGAGACCAGCCTGACCTACATGGTAATGCCCTATCTCTGCTAAAAATACAAAAATTAGCCTGGCATGGTGGTATGTGTCTGTAATCCCAGCTAGTTGGGAGGCTGAGGCAGGAGAATTGCTTGAACCCAGGAGGTAGAGGCTGCAGTGAGCTAAGATCATGCCACTACACTCCAGGTGAGATTCCATCTCAAGAAAAAAAAAAGAGAGAGAGAATCTCAATGTTTTCCAGGTTGTTCTCAAACTTTGGGCTCAAGTGATCCTTTTGTCTTGGCTTTCCAAAATCCTAGGATTACAGATATGAGCCACCACCACGCCTGGCCTTGAAATATACACTTCAATAGATTTAAGACTGTAAATTGTATGTTATGGGGTTTTACAACAATTAATATTTTAAAGAAAAACTGAAAAAAATATAGAATTATAAATCTTTTCAAAAATTACCTTCAAATCATAAAAGTGTTTCTCTCACACAAAGGAAATATAAATTCATCATTAAACACAGTGAAAAGATGATATCCATAACTATTTACTTAGACAATATAAAACAACCATTGAAAATCAGCTAAGAAAGAACACAAATAAGATAAGCCATAACCAAAATTGGGGTCATATTTGTAAATAAAAACACACACATATACAATCTGACTGTAACAGACATATGGCTAATTTATTTTTTAAACCCCACATTGACTTAGAGTGTACAAATGGAACTGCAATTATAATACACAAGTAAAACAAAACACAATAATCTGATGTTAAGAAACCTACATTGAAAAACCACGCTAATATAGAACTACAAAACAATATGAGAAATGTTTATTCATGAAATCTGGTTTGCAATATTGATGTACCTTTAAGAAATAATCTGTCTAGGTAATTGCAATATTTACCTAGGTGTGTACTCACGGAAGGCAGGTATTTTAAATCATTCATATCTGCTGGGTAGCAGTAAAAATTCAGAGAAAGTGAAGCATAATCATAAATAGAAGACACCAATGAGGAAATTTTAGAGCATTTTTTAAAAAGTGGAGATAATTTTGATATTTAAAATATATGCTATTCTTACACAAACTGAAAATTCTGTAACCCAACTTTAGAAGCAAACAATACCCTTACATCACTAAAGAAAAAATAAATATATGTGAATGTGTATATATATATTTATATGTGTAATATATATTTATATGTGCAGGTATGTGTGTGTGTGTGCAAAATATGGCAAAATCTGGTTAGAGCCTCTGATACATGAAAGTATTTGAGAATAAATGATAATATTTAGATACAGTCTGAAGAAAGTGGGTGAAAATCCTGTAATTTGTTTATACCAACAGCTAATTCAAATTTGTAAGTAACTATTTTAATAAATAGGAGTGCCTACTAATTATCTAATTTACTTAAGGTATAACTTATAAATTCTAGCACATTGTCCTCAGTGTCTGAATTTAAAACTACAGACAAATTTAAAATAGAAAATAAAACGCAAAAATGTATAGAGTGATTTCAGTAAGACAGAAAAATAAAAGGTGCCCTATTTTCTTATACCCCAACAGCAAAAATATTTATCAGCCATCCCTGACCAAAAAATATGTTTACGAGAAAGCTGGGCATTATGGATCACACCTGTAATGACAGTTTCACGTGGTACATTTAGGTTGGATTGGTTCAGGCCAGGATTTAAAGACCAGCATAGGTTGGAAAGCAAGAACCCATCTCAAAAATAAGTACCCGTAACAGAGCTTTAAGATCCAGGGAGGGAGTTTTGAAACTCTGCTAGAGCCAAAGATTGAGAAGTGTTCCTTTTCAGAAGGCAAATTACAAGACCCCTATAGTTGGCTACAGACCAGAAAATGGCCCACCCAACTTGGTCCCCCTAAGAATTCTGAACTTACTCTGTAATCATCCCAAACTCCTCCCAGCAACAGTCTGAGAAAGGTCCAGTCTTTCCAGAGGTCTGGAGGAAGACACACATTTATAGCCAGGTAGGCAGATCTGCAGACTCTGGCCGTTACCATACTCCCTGAAGCAGTTCAATGACTCAGTTCCTACTCCCCGATTCACACCTTATTGTCAGTTCTGCCTACACAGAAACCCATACAGTGACCTAGAAAAATCTCTGGTACTCAGTAAAAGCCATACTCATCCACATCCTGATACAAGGCCCATCATACTCAGACCTAACTGCAAAAACATGCCCTAATATCTGTCCTACAGAGCAATGTCCTAATGGACATTTGGTCTATCCAAAAATAAACTGGAAATTACAACTACCTAAGCTTCTTACAACAGACCAATAAAGGCAGACCCTAGTGCAGACACAGTAACCTTGTGACTAAGCTACACCCCACTCTACTACAAACCCAGAGGGCATCCCATCACCCTGGGGGCTCTACAAAAGAAGATCTTTCCTCCTGAAATCAGTTTATAAAAACTTGAAGAGGTTTTTGCTCTTTCAAATGCATACATACCAGTGCAAAACTGTATTGTGCCCGTTGTCAATGCTTTTATTTTAACATAGCACTGACAGCATGTGGCAAAAGGATTAAAAATTTTTTTTAAAGTCACTGAAATTAAAGACAAATAAGTAGAAAGTTGCTGGTTGTAGATTATATAATCTTATATATACGAAACCATAAACAGTATATTAAAACCTGTCAAAAGTGATAAATATACATGGTAAATTTCCAAAATATAAAATTAACATATAAGTATAAATTATGGTTTCATCCACTTAAACTATCTGATAAAAAAGAGGAAGAAAACAATATTATTTATAATACCATTAAAATAATTATTCTTGAGAACAAATTAAACCAAAAAGGTAAAAAAAAAAAAAAATGTATAATAAAAGAAATTAGAGAAGACACACATTTTAAAATATTTTATGTATATGGATTGAAATAATAAATATTGATAAAGTGCCATGTTTTCCAAAGTGATTTATAAATTCAATAAACTCCCTATTGAAATTCCAGTGGCATTATTTTCACAGTAATGAAAAATACAATTCTAAAATTTACATGAAACTACAATAAATTTGAATAGCCAAAGCAATTTTAAGTAAAAAAAAAAACAGATCATAGTTTATAATTTCAAACTATATTTCAAGACTATAGTAATAAAAACAGAATAGAATGTGCAGAAAAATGAACAATGAAACAGAAAACACTACTCACACATTTCAGACATGATGCAAAAAAAGAACTTAAAACAGTTTAACAGAGGTTTTCAAAAGGTATGCAGATATTTGTGTCGCCAAAACAAAAAAAAGTCAGGCTGTGCCTCTAACATGCCATGAAGAGGACTTTGGCTCTCACTGTGAACTTGAAGGAAGATCACTGAAGGAAAAATAGAATCCTTAGAGAATTTAAAAGCATAAGACAGAAGATGCCCCTCTGTGACAGCAAAAGAAAAAAAAAAGCTCAGGCTTTCCAGAAACTATTTCCTTTGGAAGACAGCTTCCCAAACCACATTTTAAGAACTGGCTTTTCCTTTGACCTGTCATCTGTGTCATCTGTTGTATTCACTATCTCACCTACCTGGGGGTTTGGCTACTATCTCACATCTCTTCATATTCCAGGGCTCTTTCTTTTGCTCCAGACAGGTGATCAGATATGGCTTAGAGACAGCAATACCTGTTTTATTGAAAATAACATGAATCTTAGTCATATTCTCCAATTACCAACCTAGTAATGTACTCAGTAAAGAGGATATAATAAATACTAATCTATAACATAAACTTCTAAATATTTAGAAAATATTTTAAATTTGTAGGTTTTAAATTTTACCATCTGGTACCACTGAATCAAAAATTGGTGTTGGGAATTAGATTTTAAGGGGTGGGTAACAATATTTCATGGCACTAAATTTCTGGAATTATCACTAATCTAGAATGAAAGATAGAGATTAGCTCAGGAATGTAAAAAATGAAACATCTTGAAGGAATGATTTCCTACACAAAGAAATCTCTAAGATTTTTGGTCGGGAGCAGTGGGTCACACCTGTAATCCCAGCACTTTGGGAGGCTGAGGCGGGCGAATCACAAGGTCAGCAAATCCAGACCACCCTGACTAACATGCTGAAATGTCTCCACTAAAAATACAAAAAATTAGCAGGGTGTGGTGGCATGTGCCCGTAAGTCCCAGCTACTCGAAAGGCTGAGGCAGGAGAATCACCTGAATCTGGGAGATTGCACCACTGCACTCCTGCCTGGGTGACAGAGCAAGACTCTATTTCTAAATAAATAAATCTCAAAGATTTTCTTGAAAACAGGAATCTGAAACTCATTTATGCAAAGCATAAATTACCAGAAAACATTCTACAAAAATAAAAAAAAAAATAAAACCTTAAGTGTATTTTAGGAATTGTGAATTGAAGTTATCCTCACCCAGGAAGACCAGATTTCTGTAGTTTTCTAGCAACACATTCCTATATAAATCCCGCTGTGCGGTGTCCAGGCATTGCCACTCCTCCAGAGAGAATTCTATGGCCACATCCCTAAATGTCAGTGGTTCCTGAAAAACACAAACACACACACATCTACCAAGTGGCCATGAGCTAGTACTTGATTGATTGATTATGTATGTACGTAGGTGTGTATTTATTTATGAATGAATGAGACGGAGTTTCGCTCTTGTTACCCAGGCTGGAGTGCAATGGCTCGATCTCAGCTCACCGCACCCTCCACCTCCTGGGTTCAGGCAATTCTCCTGCCTCAGCCTCCTGAGTAGCTGGGATTACAGGCACGCGCCACCGTGCCCAGCTAATTTTTTGTATTTTTAGTAGAGACGGGGTTTCACCATGTTGACCAGGATGGTCTCGATCTCCTGACCTCGTGATGCACCCGCCTCGGCCTCCCAAAGTGCTGGGATTACAGCCGTGAGCCACCGCGCCCGGCCACTTCCACAGATTATTTTAAGAGAAAAAAAGACGGACTGAGAACCCCACAGACTAAAGCTTTTCCCATTCATGAACCCCGCATCCCCAGTCAGGATTCTGCCCTGACGACCCTACCGTCCTCCCTACACAACGGAAAAGAGATGGGGCGCTACGGAGGCAGAGCTGCCCAGAGAGGACTCCGGGCCGGGCCGCAGCCACCGCGCGGGGAGGAGACAGGACGCCCGGGTCCCGGCTGTCAGCCCAGCCGCCATCTTCCGGCTGAAAAGGACTGAGGGCTGAGCTGCGCCAAGGACAACTCGGGGCCAAACTCGGGACCACACTCGGGGCCGCGGACTTTGAAGCCGACTTCCGGGGGCCCCTGTCCCGCCACAGCCACTTCGGACCATTTCCAAGCAGCCCCTCCCCCTCTCTCGGCATGTCGGACCGGCACTCTCACCATTTCCAGCCTGCCAGGGGTCCCGGCGTCTTAGCTGTGCATCCCCCAGTACCTGCAGGGCACAGGGACACAGAGGCGGGGCCTCCAGGAGCAGAGGACACAGGGAAGCCAGGAGGCGACACCGAGCTCCGGCCGCGGCCAGACACAAAGGCCCCGCCAAGGCCCGGAAGCCGTCCTGTGCGCTCCAGCTACGTGCCTCATTGGACGGCTCCCAGACGAGCGATCCTGATTGGACAATGTTTGCGGCCCCGCCCCCTCAGGCCCTGAGTGACAGAAGATGTGCTCATTTGCTGGGCAGGAAGAATGCTGATAAAGCGAAATCTAAGCTGCAGCTTTTTCAGGCGGGGCTTCCTCCCTGAGCTGAGCCAGGTCCACCCCGGAGTGTTTGCATTTAGCCTTGTGTATAACGTCGTACTCATTTATAATAATACATTATGTGGGTATTCACACATGAAAATAATACAACAATTATTTTTAAATTCCAGATTTTATGACCTTTCTGAATTCTGGTCCTTTGAGCGGGCAGACGGAGAGTTTAAAAAAGGAGGCAATCCTCCTAAACAAAATGTAAGCCGCATGTGTATTCTAAATTTTCTTTCTTTCTTTCCTGAGTAGCTGGGCTTACAGGCGCTCATCATCATGCCCAGTTAATTTTTAGTGGAGATGGGGTTTCACCATCTTGGCCAGGCTGGTCTTGAACTCCTGACCTCAGGTGATCCACTTGCCTAGGCCCCGCAAAGTACTGGTATTGCAGGCTTGAGCCACCGTGCCCTACCGTGTTCTAAATGTTCTAGCAGCCAAACTTCAACAAGAAAGAAGAAACAGGTGGAATTCATTCTAACCATTGAATTAACCCAATATATCCAAAATATTACCATATTAATGTGTGAGCAATATGTGACTATTGACAAAGTGTATATATTTTTGGAACTAAATCTTTAGCTCCATATTTACCTTTCTTTTCTTTTTTTTTTGAGACAAAGTTTCACTCTTGTTACCCATGCTGGACTGCAATGGCTCAATATTGGCTCACTGCAACCTCTGCTTCCCAGGTTCAAGAGATTCTCCTGCCTCAGCTTCCCGAGTAGCTGGGGTTACAGGCAGGCACCACCATACCAGGCTAATATTGTATTTTAGTACAGATGGGGTTTCAACATGTTGGTCAAGCTGGTCTCGAACTCCTAACCTCAGATGATCCACTCGCCTTGGCCACCCCAAGTGCTGGTATTCCAGGTGTGAGCCACCTCGTTCAGACATGTATTTTACCTTTCTAGCACATGACAATTCAGACCAGCCACATTCCAGACACCCAGTAGCCATACATGTCACATTAAAGTGCAGCTCTGACAACAGGGTGTAAGGGCCTGAACATTCCTTTTTCTGCCAGAGGTGAGGGAAGAGCCTCTCCCTACCAACATCTCTCTTCAGTTCCGAGGATGGAACGGGGTGTGGCCACAAAAAGAGTGGAGGACACCAGAAATAACATAACCTAAGGCTGTTACGAGTTAATGAAATTAATATGTATATAATTAAAACTACTAGATGTATGAAAAACAATTCTGCATGAAGAAGTATAGGCAAAAGCAAAGTGTGCTTTTAATGAAGAAAGAAGAAACACTTTATCTAGTTTGAAATTACTTAATGGTTGTTTCAAATTGAAAAAACAAAAAATAGATACTATAATATAAAAAGTTGAAAAATTGGGCGCGGTGGCTCAAGCCTGTAATCCCAGCACTTTGGGAGGCTGAGGCGGGTGGATCACGAGGTCAGGAGATTGAGACCATCCTGGTCAACATGGTGAAACCCCGTCTCTACTAAAAATACAAAAAATTAGCTGAGCATGGTGGCACGTGCCTGTAATCCCAGCTACTCGGGAGGCTGAGGCAGGAGAATTGCCTGAACCCAGGAGGTGGAGGTTGCAGTGAGCCGAGATCGCGCCATTGCACTCCAGCCTGGGTAACAAGAGTGAAACTCCATCTCAAAAAAAAAAAAAAAGTTGAAAAATTTATTAAAAGAGACCATAAAGTATTTATGAAAATCTACAGTGGCCAAAAATGACACATTTCATGGATTTATTTATAAGATTTTACTAGAATTAGCTGTAGTATTAATAATACACTAATACAGAAGTAAACGTTGGTTTTCTTTGAACAAAAATTTTACATATTATCAATGACATAGTAAAACATTTGTGTTTACCTTTTGAATAAATTTAAAAACAAAGAAAGTAGAGAAAAGATAGAATTTTTCTCATGCTCTCTTTCTCAGGTTTTTTTTGACTGGAAACTGAATCTACTGTATCAAACAGTAAATTATTTTGCTTTTAAAATCTATTAACTTACCTACGCAACTGTCTTGCATGTTCTGCACATGTACCCCCAAACCTAAAATGCAATAAAAAAATTAAAAATAAATAAAATCTATTAACTACCATTTTGGTTAAATAAATGACTATTATTTTATAGTGATCTGTGATCCTATTTCGATAGTTTTAGCCCTCTGACATATTTGACAAGCCTCCCAACATCAAATTTTACTTAAAAAGTGTCTTTTCTGGCCGGGTGCGGTGGCTCACGCCTGTAATCCCAACACTTTGGGAGGCAGAGGTGGGCGGATCACGACGAAAAGAGATCGAGACCATCCTGGTCAACATGTTGAAACCCCGTCTCTACTAAAAATACAAAAAATTAGCTGGGTGTGGTGGTGTGCGCCTGTGGTCCCAGATACTCGGGAGGCTGAAATGGAAAAGAATCTCTTGAACCCAGGAGGCGGAGGTTGCAGTGAGCCGAGATCGCGCCATTGCACTCCAGCCTGGTGACAGAGCAAGATTCCGTCTCAAAAAAAAAAAAAAAAAAAAAAAAAAGTGTCTTTTTTTTACACCCTGAACTTTTGGATGCTATAGAGTGTCAAAGTAGCATGAAAAAGAGTGATAAACAGGCCTGGCATAGTGGCTCACATCTATAATCCCAGCACTTTGGGAGGCTGAGGTGGGTGGATCACAAGGTCAAGAGATGGAGACCATCCTGGCCAACATGGTGAAACCCTGTCTTTACCAAAAATACAAAAATTAGGTGGGTGTGGTGACACGTGTCTGTAGTCCCAGCTACTCGGGAGGCTGAGGCAGGAGAATTGCTTGGACCTAGGAGGCAGAGGTCACTGGGAACTGATATCATGTTATTGCACTCCAGCCTGAGCGACAGCGAGATTTTGGGAGGCCCAACACTTTGGGAGCCCGAGGCAGGCAAATCACGAGGTCAGGAGTTCAAGACCAGCCTGATCAACATGGCGAAACCCTGTCTCTACTAAAAATACAAAAATTCGCTGACAGGATGGCTAGCGCCTGTAGTCTCAGCTACTCCAGACGCTGAGGCTGGAGAATCACTTGAACTTGGAAGGCAGAGGTTGCAGTGAGCAGAGATCGGGCCATTGCACTCCAGCCTGAGCAATAAGAGCAAAACTTCATCTCAAAAAAAAAAAGTTAACTTACATGGAAGCATTGTAAAGTAAAAATAATGTTTGCCAGGTGTGGTGGTTCATGCCTGTAATCCCATCACTTTGAGAGGCCGAGGCAGATGGATCACTGGAGGTCAGGAGTTCTGGACCAGCCTTGCCAAGATGGCAAAACCCAGTCTCTACTAAAAATACAAAAATTAAGTTGGACGTGGTGGTGGGTGCCTGTAATCGCAGCTACTTGGGAGGCTGAGGCAGGAGAATTGCTTAAACCCAGGAGGCAGAGGTTCCAGTGGTCTGAGATTGTGACACCACTCTCCAGCCTGGGTGACAGAGCAAGACTCTGTCTTAAAATATATATGTATTTGACTTCCTTCAACTTATATTTTAATAAACATGTTATTAATATTTTTGCCAAAATTGTATGAAATTTCTAAAAAACTAATAAATCTGAGTAAATGCTCTTATTCATACTTATGGTTATTACAATAAATCATTGTAGGCCACAGATACAATTAATTTCTTTTGTTTCTTTATAACCATTTAAAGTCATTTCCACAGTTAATGGCTTAATTCTGATGTAGTTTCTAAAACTTCAAAAGTATGGAAAGTTCTAGAGTACTGTGTTTTTAAGGAGGTTCATGAGAAGATGGAAAAGGCCCAGATGAGTTGAGTACACATTTCTGATAACGTTAGAATTATATTGTTTGAATTAGGTAAAAACTATGAGAATTTGGCCAGGCGCGGTGGATCACGCCTGTAATCCCAGCACTTTGGAAGGTTGAGGTGGGCGAATCATGAGTTCAGGAGTTCAAGACCAGCCTGGCCAACATGGTAAAAACCCGTCTCTACTAAAAATACAAACTATTAGCTAAGCATAGTGCTGGGTGCCTGTAGTCCCAGCTCCTCAAGAGGCTGAGGCAAGAGAATCGCTGGAACCTGGGAGGTGAGGGTGCGGTGATCCGAGATCACACCACGGTACTCCAGCATAGGGAATAGAGTGAGACTTCATCACACACAAAAAAAGATTGTGAGAATTCCAGTGAAGAGAGTAACACTTGTAAAACCGCTAATTTAGGCAAAACAAAAATTAATTGAACATCAGGAAAATACTCTGCCACATTTTTATGCTAAATCAGCCAGCACTAAAATTTTTTAGATATGCCATTTGAATAAACTCTGTAGTCCAGATCAAATTACCTACGAGAACCCATCTTTTTTTTTTTTTTTTTGAGAGCAAGTCTCACTCTATTGCCCAGGCTAGAGTGCGGTGGCACAATTTCGGCTCACTGCAACGTCCGCCTCCTAGGAGAACCCCTCGTTTGTTTGTGTTTTGCAACTAATTTGGAGAAACAAACTTGGTATTTAAGAGAAAATAAATTCAGTGTTTAGTGTGGAACTATGAAGAACCTAGACAGCCAACAGCCACTTGTTCATTCCTGAGTTCTTAAAGCCCGTTATTAAAAAGCTGTACATTCCATTATTCATCATAGAAGATATAAAATAATCTACATTAAATATAAATTAGGCCAGGTGTGGTGGCTTGTGCCTGTAATCGCAGCTACTCAGGACGCTGAGGCAGGAGAATCGTTTGAACCCAGGAGGCGGAGCTTGCAGTGAGCTGAAATCGAGCCATTGCACTTCAGCCTGGGCAACAAGTGTAAAACTCCATCTCAAAAAAAAAAGAAAAGAAAAGAATCACATCACCTACATGTTGAGGACAAAAATATGTATATGTATTGATATGTATCAATAG